AACCAAAGTAAACAATATTACTTGCTAGTTTAAAGTTAAAACTTTAGATCCAACACACAGGAGTTCTATCACCTAGAGCTTTCGACCAGTCACTCTGGTCTTCCTCAGTAGACTGACCCAGTGAGGCTTGTCACGTGGCTTCTTTGAAGTATGACATCAACACTGGGTCAAAGGTATCTGGTAGATGATGTCGCCCCCCGTCGCGGTTGTGTGAAGGGTGATGGGCCCTGATGTAAATAGCCAAGTATTACTCGTTGTTGTTTCAGGTAGAAACGTTTGAACTTATATGCAGATGTACAGTGTACATATATTTCACATGTTCACTTCCGTAACCAGTTTAAACAGCATCTTTCCTCAAGCTTTCTCAAGAGAATTTTACTGTTACAAACCATTTGGCGACCACAATTGGACTCGTATGACCCATAACTTATAAATTGAATATAATTGTAAAGGTAAAAACACAAAGAGCATACAAAACACAGTTCTTTATGAAGCAAATTTGCTTGAACGAGTATTGAAATTGTTCGTCGTCCAACGGTCACCTCTACAGTAGAAAGGAAATGCAATCTCTTTTGTAGCTACATCTACTACATGAAGCCTTTATGTGTCCTCCTTAGGTCACCACCAGGTCATTGACCTCTTATGACAGGTCTGGAGACCTTACTGTATATTGAACCGGCACAATCTGTGATGTTCTCCGCTGTAGTATGGAACGCTAATCAGATTACAGGCCCCACGACCCCAACCGTCTCATTACCCACCCTGGCTCTCAGAGAGCGGTTCACGACGACAATTACGTTCTTCCAAAATTGATTTTTACCTCTTAAAAACGAGATTAAGCCGCTGACGCTGTGTCAGCGTAGGGCGCGTAATTCCATTAGTTGTCTACCGGATTTTGAAATGAAAGCCTTACGGGAGAACGTACATGTAGACTTGGCGATGACCCGATGTAAATAGATCTTATAGAGGTGTGGCCGGAATTGAGAGCGCCATAAAGTCTTTCTGCATACGTTTCTTTTGTTGTTATAGCTACAATTTCATAACAAGATTTTGGAGATCTCCTACCTCCATGCAATATGTAGAGTTTATGTAAATGTTTTTTCTTTTAATTTGTCTCATTGATTATTGAAATAAGGTCGTGATTACCATAATGTAGTTTAATTTGTGGTTTTCTAAACTGAAATTACAATGTTTTGCTTGTGAAATTACATGTATGAAAGTACTATTATGTGAAACACTGTAATTACATGCAAATTATCTTTATTTGCATAATTTGCATGTATGTATTTTTCATGGAGATAATGAGTGAGGTACAATACCTTCACAGTAGGAAAATGGATATAAAGATGGTCTGTAAGATCTATTTGATAAATTTGGATTCATGTATGGAAGGTCAACGTGGTTTAGTATACAGTAACGTCACATGATTCCATTCCGACATTATGTTAGATACCAAAGAACAAAGTCTGCCATTACATCACGCTTCTAGCAGCCCTTTCACTAGGCAGCCAGCCCTTAAAATGTCCCACACATCCCCTGACAGAGAGAGATTGGGTAACACAGCCTGGCAAAGAACATAGATCATACTATTTCATGTGACATTCTTACCTCTACAGACGGCATTGTAAAACTTCAAAGGAATTATAGATCTACCGAGAGGCTTTTTAGTAAAGCACAGTCCATCATTCCTGGTCTAAAGTGGAGATTTTGTCACTGTGAGATACTGAGATTGAGTTGTGGTGCCCTCCCTTCCTCCTTGTTGGGATTAAGATAAACGTCAGCCCTTTTGAAACAGACTTGGACGACTATAGATCCACATCACAAGATACTAACGCTAAGACAGTAGGAATAGAACCACCCACTCTAGTGTGCCCCAAGGCAGTATCATCGGCCCAACGCTAAGACACATGAATAAAGGTATGATTGTATTACAAAAACTTTGTATGCTGTTTTAAAACTTTTTTTTTGTTTCTTCCGTAGACAAGTTGAAGTTTGGATTCCGTTCTTGTCTGATCTTGATAAAGAGTGCAGCTCCGTGTACGTGATACATCATGGTGTAGTCTTGTGATCTGTGTGTTTTGTCTAGACTCTGTGTCATTGCTGACCTTTCCTGTCGTGAGTTGTGTTCACCGCAACCCTGTCAGACTCCGCCGTACATGTGATGTATGAAGTATCTTCTGTTTTATGATAGATACGTGGACGTTATCTGTCTGAAACTTCTGTGTGGGCGTCGTTCTGTCAAATGTCACAATGCTTTGACTAATGCAACCAGCGGGAATAAAAGCAGTTTCTAACGTCTACTACATTATTCAGGCTTGTGTACATGTACGAGCGCTAAAAGAGGCTTTGTCGAGTGTTTCAAAAGTCAAAGTGGGAAAGAATTTCTCAACCATCTTTGCTAAGAAATATCACACATGATATTCTTTGTATGCTGCTTTTGACTCATTTTGCTTTGAAAGTCATGTTCATCTTGTGACCTTGGAAAAGGCACTTAACACGAATTTCAACACTTAACTCAAGTGAAAATAATTATGTCGTCCATGCGTTTGTCTGCGTTGGTGGTCGCATAATAGATAAGAAAAACATGAGTGTGCCGTCTCCATGAATTGTGATAAATGTTGGGATAGAAAAAAGTGATATGAAATTTGTCCATTTGTAAAAGCATTTGCTGTACGCCTGTTTTCTGCTATTACGTTCCAACCGACATGTAACAGCAACAAGACAACTTTTCAGACGTCCTCATACAGGTTAACGAACGCATTGACGGAAAGACTACCATTTTAAGCTTAGCCCATACGGACATACATCCCACTCACGGCTAACCCGTATCACCACACATGGCGTGCCGGTTTCGTCCTCTGACGCACTCTCCCAACATTACCGCAAAACCTGGGTTTTAAGAGTAAATCTTTACTGGCGCCTGGCGCATCTTGTAGGCGAGATAGCGACGTACCCAGATGGATCCTCACATCAGTCTCCGTCCACAGAGGGTGCCGTTCACTCCATAAATGCCAAACCGTTTCTTAAGGGCCTCCTTAAGTAGTGACTCCCACGTGGTGTGGTATTTCGGTACGTCTGTCGTGTACAGAACTATTTTCATTATACGGCGTCGCAGTGACGCAGTGGGTTACACAAGCCGGCGTAATGAGACGAAACAAAACCTAACAGTCTACAGTCTCCGCCATGCCGCACTGCTCGGCCAGGACGAAAATGACAGTGGTTATGGATGCTTAGTTTTATTATGAATGATGGGAGGCAGATGTGAGCGTTTCTGTCGATGTTGTCCATGATTAGCGTTTATCGGTGTTGCCAGCATGTCGTAGAAGTAGTTTTCGAACTCGAGGACATTTTCCAAACTGGATGTTTAGTCTAAAGGTTTACATTATATACTGTATTGTGTTTTTATTCAAGGAAAAACTCATTGTGACGCGTCAAAACTCATTTAGCACGCCAAAGAAGTAATGACGGATGTCACTCCAAACGTCCGGAAGTGAGCTCCGTTATTTATCCAGTAGTAGAGACGATATGTAACTCCAAACAGTGCAATCAGAGTGCAGTACCTGATTCAGGGTTGGATGCGATGTGTCCCTTTGATATACGTTCATTAGCATGTCCCGTGGGCGAATTGTGGGATCGCTAACCACCCAGCCGAATTCTCCTACTACCTTGACATTGCTTAAAACATTCCCATGATGCATGTTGTAATGTATTACTCTCTAATGAAGAACTTTGAGCGACCGTTTAGCTGGCAGGAAAAAACAGACTCGGCGCCAGTATAGCGGAATCGTCAATTACGTTTTCAGTTCCATCACCCTGTAGCAGGCTGGGTTAGGGCCTTTTGATAGAGACAAGTATGTTTCTTTGTACCGAGACATTTGGCTTTTGAGAAAGTTAGTCTCTGGGTGCTCTATGTCTGTTTGACTTTTCGTGTGCTAAACAGAGTCATGTATTTTTCAGAAGCGGCGCATTCTGGTCTCTGCACCAGATTGGAGGGTTAAGGTTGGATGTTCCGGTGACTGACTAGCTCATTACTTACATGCTGCTTCCACCTTAAGATTGCACGAAGCCATCTCTGGTCTACCTCAGCCAGTTTCTGTCAGTTGCCAAGTTTCAGATCCACAAAAGATTCTGGAAAGTACACATAAATTGTACGTGGACACGATTTTCTGTCAAAGGCAATATGCTTCCAAATCATGCCCAATTCTGGCTGTAAACGTTTTCTCGTTGATAGAAGTATGTTGTACCGGTAAGATAATCTCATCCTTGAGTGTGGATGGCTTTTCAAACCAATAAAGCCAGCTCCAAGGATAGCTATTAGAGTTTTATAAATACCCACCACCGCTACCTAACTCCTTGATCTAGTATGGTTGTATAAAGCCTCCCAACTCGGTCTTCGTTATATCTTTAAATAGATTTTTGGCTGGAAGCTATTTCGCCTCGCGAAGCTTATTGTATCAATTTCCGCCCCAATGTCGAATAGGTCAGCCTTCCAACTAACCCCAATTTATTTATTTTTTTTCGAAAAGGGCACACGTGGGCTTGGCAGCGCTTTCTATGGCCTAAACTGAATGGGTTATAATATAATTAGGATGTTACCATGGTCAATATTGACCGAAGGAGGACATATATACATATATATAAGATTGGCGCTGGGCATAGAGGCATAGATCTGTAAAACCTAGTGTGATTTTTCTCCATCAACCGCAAAGGTTCTTATATTGTGTGTTCTGCTTGGATGGTGTTTAACGCCATAACACCACAGGAAACATGTTTGATGTAGTCCATCTACATTACCTGATATCAGAGCAACATTTAAAGGTATACTTCGGGGATTCTGAGATAATAGTACTCTATATGATCGCCTAATGGCCTGTTACCACTAAGGATAGGTGAAATACAGCTTCCTGTATACCGCACTGAGCCCAACCTTTGTGGTGAATCCTTGCCTTAAGTATTTTGATCTATGATCAGTGTGAAAAGGAAATATGTAGCATTGCCGATTGTACCAAACGGTGTTTAATAATAATTTAGACCTTGACATCTCACAACAATATTTCTTGTGAAATGTTTTATTATGTTTTTATATAAAATGTATTTTGTCTACTTAAGGTTGTTTTTTTGCGATCACTAAAAGTCAACGTTTTGTGCACGCTGCTGAAATTTTGAAATTAGTTAACCATATTACTTTTCAATCTTTACTTATTTATGTTAACTCATTTCATACAATAGAGTATTCCTTAGCCACAAGAAGGGAACTTTATGTTCTTGATTCTTTTTCATTATCGGTATTATGATTTGAATTATTGTATACTGGGTGGTTTATGTATTTTCTTTTGATTTGTGAATAAAAACATAAATATTGCTAAACAGTATTCTTAGTACGTACGTATGTCAAACAGATTTATTTGTGGTGTTTCTTCTCTATGTGTTTGGTCAATTCCCGCTTTCTAACTGCGCTGTAGTTGCAAAGTTCACACTTATACGGCCTCTCCCCGGTATGGACCATGATGTGCCTGACCAAACTTGTCTTATCCGCTGTCTTGTAGCCACACTCGTCACACGTGAACGGCTTGATACCGGTGTGCCGCGACATGTGGACCTTCAGGATGGTCGTTCTAGTTGCTGAGTATTCACAGTGTGGACATTTGAAAGGTCTCCGTCCCGTATGGACGCCCATGTGTCTTTTCAGGTCTGCCTTTTGTGACCCTCGGTAGCCACACTCCTTACACGTGTAGGGGTAGTTCCCGGTGTGTCTAGCCATGTGCCGGTCTAGATGAACCTGTTTTGTCCCGGCGTAGTCGCACTGGTTACACTTGTAGGGTTTTTCTCCGGTGTGGACCATCATGTGGGTAGTTAGACTGCTCTTCTTGGCCGCCTTGTACCCGCAGACTTTACAGACGTGTGGGCGGTGTTTTAGATGGACCGCCAGGACGTGTGCCTCTAGCGTCTCCCTGCGAAATCCCGAGTAGTCGCACTGCTCGCAGTTGAAGGGTCTGGTACCGGCGTGTCGGCGGAGATGTGTGCGGAGAGAGGACGCGTGCCGAGTTTTGAAATCACACTGGTCGCAGGTGTACTGTTGTGTGGGGCTGTGTATAGACAGATGGCACGTTAGAGACAGCTTGTTTGGGGCCCGGTAGTCGCACTGGTCGCACTGGTACGGCCGTTCGCGGTTTGCGTCGTGGGTTTTGGCGTGCCGAGCCAACGTGTACCTGGACTTTGTCCTGTAGAAACATTCCGTACAACTGTACAGTTTGTCCGGCTCGATACTGGCCATAACATCCGGCTTGTGCTGTTTTTACTGCAAATAAAAGAAAAAAGATGTACTTATTTTCATTATTACTACATGTACTTATTATTATCACATAATTATTACTCATACTAGTACTCTGGCACCCTGGTGCATGTAAACACATGCAGTCTCATACAATAGCCATTACACGCAGAGCACTTTGTTTATTGGCACCAGCGTCATCTAACTTAGCACCCGTGCCACGTATGCCATATGGCGATACCATAAATCATTTTTACATTAAAAAACTGTCCAAAATGATAGATTGTATAATCTAAGTTGCATACAGTGTATATTTGACGTGAGCAGGTTTAGTAATATGACTTGAATTGCTCGGATTCTTACCTTTTGTTTCTGGATCACGTTTAAGAGACCATAAAACGCAGGTGTGCCGGAAATTAAGGTCAAAGGTCAAACTACCCTGACTGGTCATGACGTCATATTGACGTCATTCCTCAGCCACGTAGATATGAAACTTTCACTGTTTTTGTTTACTAAGAATTAAGTGGGGCTACGCAAGCATGGGCGTATTCGAAATAGGTATTTTAAACATTGTTGTCATATAATAAACTGCATGTACTACAATGGCTTTTTTTATATTTCAGTCCATACCATGGTATGGATGAAATATTTTATATTTCAGTCCATACCATGGTATGGATGAAATATATTGTGTTCTCTGATGTTTCTTCTCCTCCTTCTTCTTCTCCTCCTCCTGCCACACAGTCAAAGGGATTCAACTCAGCCATCATTCAGCCAAATGACTTGAAATTTGGCATGGAGGTAGAGTGGGCCAATACCCCCAGGCGTTTTTTCCATTTTTTTGATACATACCTTTGAAAAATTTTTATGAAGGTTTTTTGGGGCATTTTTCGCCAAAAAATGGATTTTTGGATCCTGAGCCCTGGTTTTACAACCAAATGATCTGAAATTCGGTATAAGGGTACCTTGAACATGTGTCTACAGAATAGCAGTCACATATTTGGCATACATCACTTCCAAATGACTCATTTGGGGGAGTTTAATGGCTATTTTCAGCAAAAAAAGGGCTAAAAGTGCTGTACCCGTTCCATGTTCTATCTAAAGAATGGCCGGTTCCATCCATGGAACACGTGTTCCATCCATGGAACACGTGTTCCATTGCAGGTTACCTGAGGTCACATTGCACCTAAGTGGTGCGTAATAACCTACACATTCAATTTTATGTGCCTAAGACCTTCAAAATGTATCAAATCTCATCATTGTTAGTTTTTGCATACCTGTACTAAGATTAGTAAAGCTTTCGAGATTCAAAGTACTTGTTGTTGCATCTTTGTTCTCATATAGCTACTATTTAATTCATTTATTTGAGAACCTTTGCCAGTTTTGCACTGGGGTAAGTTTGGAATAGTCCACTTTTGCGTGGGAGGGAGATGGACTGAAATATGCTGTATTTGCTCCCAAGCAAATGTCGGCCTTTCTAGTTTCAAAGATATGTAGCTACGGTAATCGGAACGGTTTAGTTAGGCCACAGCCAGTAATTTTTAAGGATGACATCCTCCGCAGACTCCAAATCTAATGCGTCAGGGCGAAAAAAAACAAGGTGGGCCAAAAAAGCAAGGTTCGTTTATTTTCAAATTTTGACATTATGAACCTTGTTAAACAAAAAAATTATACCTATGATGTGCCAAATTTACTGCCAACTATTCCAACATCTATTTGTCAATGAAAAATAAAAGTTTTCAATTATTGGGTTTTGATTCAGTGAACGCCACATATAAAAGCTATTAAATGCATCTGTGCATCAAAGTAAAAGACGAATCAATAAATCAGAACCTTGTCTTGTCTCCTCTCTTTGATCATATTCACCCACGTTCCGGCATGGCAACGGACATCTTTGCAATTTTTGGCATGTTGACAACTTTTAGAGGACAACAAATTTTTTAAAATCCAAAATGAGCAAAAATTACTTGCTGTGGCCTTACTGTCCCTGAAACAAAGCTGCTCGCTGGAACTCATTGTATTTTTAATTCATTTAGTACGCATATGGTCATCTGTCATTACCCAAATCATAGAGTTCACCCAAATCACAGAGTTCGCGCGCATTTAATGACTTCTAATGCACGGTTATCTACCACTTCAGGAGCTATTATCAATATGGTACTGCTGGAATGGGTACTTATCGAAGTAATTATGGCAAGTATCCTATATTACCACCTGCTACTGTTAAAGCTATAATTTAATCACATGTTCTGCTATTTGCGTAGAATGATGCATATAATTAATTGCCTAGCAGATACATGGTGAAGCAAACAGCGCGCGCATTGATTTTCGCCTGATTTCGGAAAAAAACGATGTTGTTACGACAAGCTCTTTTTTTTTGTAATTGTTCTAGTTAATGCACACACATTTAGAAGAGCGGGTAGTACTGATGAATACTGGAATAAAAGACCTGTTGGTTATGATATCATTTTTTTTCACCTCAGATGCTGTTGCAAAGTTTATGATCAAAATTTGAAAATGTAGGGATCTTGTCTGGCCCGCCTTGTTTTTTTTTCGCCCTATCGCATTAAATTTGGAGTTTATGGAGGATGTCATCCATAAAATTTACTTGCTGTGGCCTAAACATGTTACTAACACGGGGCTGCTAGAAACGTTGCGATTCTTCATTCTTTCATCTGCTTGGAGTTTATGATGAATAGACCTACATGCGTCTGTGATATTACTTTTTTCCTTACGTATATTGAGGGGCACAAGATTACACCAAAACATATGGCGTACTGGATTGCTCCTGGCGCTACCATTAATTTACATTTACTTACTGATTGAAGCTCTGCCAACACGTAATCATTTATTCTCGCAACCATGCGTGTTATTGCCGTCATTAAAGCCACTTTACTGACGACTGGATATAGAAGAATATTAGTCTTCATTTCGCTTTAAGGCCACACGGACTTAATCTAATGAATGGCATCTTCTGAAGAGCCCCAAACTATTGCGTGCGGACGAATAAAAAAATTCCAGCCAAAAATGTTGCTACACCACAGAAATACAAAACTGGTATTGTGAATTTGCGGTAGTACATAGCGACTTTCACGACAAGTTGGAACATGCTGGCCCTTTGCGGAATTCATCAATCGGCACTGTACTGAGTTCTCGAGTTCCGTGGAGCTTCGGCAGCCTGGATGCCATCTTCCGTAGTTATCGCCGGCTCCCTATTGTTGCTAGTTACCATGGACTACGGAGGATAGCACCCAGGCCAGAGCATAGGAGTAAGTGATTTTTTACAACAGACGAAAATCAATGCGTGTGCGGATGTCAACCATAAATTTACAATTAAATCAGTGTGGCCTAACGTTATTGGCGATTAAACGCATTGCAGTGGTCTGTTTTTAGTTAGTTGTTACGAGGGGTTATTCCATTTTTAACGCGGGAGGGGGCGCTAAGCAGGTATCTGCCTTCAAATAACCCTCAGTGATTTTCGTCATACAGCAGTAAATTGAGAACATTCTAGGGGCATTCGTACAACTATTTGTTCGACATACGATTGCCATAACTCTTCGTAGACAGTTAAAAATCCGACGCAAAAAAAACCGTGCGCAACCGTCATATTTTGAGCGTGTAGAGGTGTCTTTAAATATAAAAAAAAGTTTTGCATTCTCTCTGTTTTTCTTTCTAGTTGCAGATCATGTTTGTTATGGTGTTTAGCAGTACATTGCCCCAGGATATGATCAGCTGAAACCTGTAACACTCACATTTATTTACGTAACACATAATACATAAATGTGTTGTTCAGCCGTCCCTTAGGTGTTAGGCATCCATCTGTTGCCTTATGTTTGAATATTAACACACATCTTACGTTAAAGGCTTCCAATGCAGACTTGGGAAACCAATTTTTCAAAGTCAATATTCTAGTCATTTATCTACATACTGAGTTGAAACCACACTATCCTAATGTATTTTCACTCTCATAGAGCAAAACTACCCAAAATTCTGACAGAAAACGGTTATTGGAAGGGCCTTTGGCTGGTATTTAGGGTACCACCCATAAAAGGTCTCATCTTTAGACTTGCGTCTGCAGTCCTAAATGCCAAAAAGTATTAGATACTGATTGAAATGTACTATTGCGGAGCAGTATGTTTCAATATCATAAAGATTGCCTTCTTCACAATGTTTCCAGTTTTGCTGCTCTGAAATCGCATTGGATGCCTTGAACGTGCGTGCTCCAGCCGTGGCTCTCCTTAACCACGGACCTTTGGCTTTACGTACCACTCAATTCCGCCTGAGTTGAGTGAGGTAATAGGTGTAAATTGCTTTTTCAAGGTCACAACATTGGGGCCTGCAAGGGATGTTTTCCTCATTGCACTATCAGCTGTAGCATCCGCCTGTCCACCAAAGTAAGATCGTGTTCCATTTTCACTCGAATTAACAAAAAAGGGGCTAAACAAAGGCTCAAAAACAAACAAATAAACAAACAAACATCTGCTTCTGGGAAGTTGTTAAGCTTGGCTTTGAGACATAGAAATGATGACATATTGTATAAAAAACGCAAAAAATTTCGTGAACGTGCGCTATTTTCAATACAGCAAGAATGGGCGACACCATTGAGGACTGCGGGGCCATTTTTGTAAAAAAATGATGCGCGTTCAAAATATTCGAAACAGTTGACAGAATTGTCAAAAACTATAAGGTTAATAGAGACAAGATATGTAGTGTTGTACTAGACCGTGGTGTGCTCAATTCTTACGTTATGTACTAGTATATACCTACAGTACACGTACTACCCATCATTCAGCCATGCTTTACCTCACCAGCATTGACTTCAGATGTACTGCAAAATGGAGATAAACGTACTCCTGGGTCAACCAGGTGGAAGTAATGATTGATTTCCTTCTTCAGCAGCAAGGTGCTCGCCATAACCCTTGAACTTTCCTTCAGACCTACACTATATCTTAAGAACGTCTCCATCCCTTGAGCCCAGCGACTTCACATGTTATTGAAGAAACGTCTTGGTAACGGATTTACACTGCATAGGATGCCATCTGTGCAGGAAATGCCCTTGGGCGTATGAGTATTTATATTTTTCAACGTCGGGACGTCCTATTTTAGCACTCAGCGTAGGGGTACCGTCAAGTTGTTCTCTGAGCGTTTTTCTCTTACGTAAATTAAAACCGTTATTAAGAAACATTTTCATGCAATTCGCATGGTTTTTGTTCGAAAATCAGAACGCTATTGCTGTAATATTCAAGAAGAAAAATAAAAAAAGGCGAAAGCATCTTGAAAATGGGACGAACCATCGTTGGTAGTGCTAACGCACTGCTGTTAGTATTTTTTTCCCATTTGTGACTCCTAGCGATCCGTGGTAATCCTAGTCTTATGGGAAGGCAGAGTAACCTAGCTTATACTACATCTTTTCTCTCGGGGTTACTG